CCTTAGACAGTGCCACCAGCTGGGGACCAAATGTTCTAATACATGTGCCTGTAGGAGCATTTCATATATAAACTGTAACAGATTTTTAGAGAAAATATTAGAGATGCCAGGTTCATGTTTATAATTCTATCACTCAAGAAACAAAAGAAGCAGAAGCAAGAGAGTTGTGAGCTTAAGACCAGTGTGGGTCTTACGTACTGAGTTCAAGGCCAATTGGGGGTACATCCTGAAACACTGTCTCACCCAGTTCACCAATGAGTAGGAAGGGGGTAAATGTGGCTATGCAGAAACAGGGTTTGCTTCTTGTAGTTTTCCATCCAGTTCCTACCCAGTTATCCAGTTGTTGCCAGTCCTGCTCTCTGAGAAAAGAAAGGTGCTTTGAGCTTGATGCCTTGAGCCACAAGAGCAACTTCCCCCTCTGTCCTGATGTTAAAAGAGACAGGATTGCTTTTTAAATTCCTCATCCACTTTTCTTTAGGGACTTGGTATCACCTCACTGTCAGGACTCGATAGCGTGCCTGATCGTGAACTGTCCTGCCCTGGCTGCACATTGTCAGTGCCCTACGCTTCACTCAGCTGTTGTAAAGAGTTAGCTGTACGGCTTTAAAATAAAACAGTGAAAACCTCCTCTGTAACAAAAACACCAAGATATTTATAAATTAATATGGACATTATTAAAAAAAACAATTTTTAAAATCTACATAAATAGAGCTGCCATGTAAACCAGCAGTTCATAATTCTTTGTGCTCACGTACGCCTTAATACAATGAGAAAAAACTCTAGGCTTTTCTGTCTGAGAGTTGTGTGGATGCTCACATACACACCCTGCAAATGCAGCTTCAGAAGGTTCAAGAGTACCTTTTTCTGTGGTCCCTAGAACCTTCATAGGGCCAGTGAACTCTAGCAAAGGACCCTTAGTAAGAAAAAATCCCAGAGTCACTAAAATTCTTGCCCATGGGGCTAATCTCGTTAGTATGTTATCTTACCTGACAGCAGAAAACTAAGATTATAGGTGCAATTCAGGTTGAATCGAGGTGGTCTTGTTGAATTAACTGGATGGATACCATTAAAGGATACTTACTACCCATCTGGCCAGGATCCTTTGCCCTGAGTATCTGGCTGGACCTAGGAGAGTCACATTCCTTCTTACCAGCAGTACCCTCCCTGGCTGTCTGCACAGGGTGGTGTGACCCCAAAAGAAGTGTTACAGAAAGACAAGGACTGTGTTCTGCATCTGGGAGTTGGTGAAGTATGGAAATGAATTGTCCCCTAGAGCCTCCGAAAAGGAACATAACTCTGCCAGCACTTTGATTTTAGCCCAGTGAGACCCGTGTCAGACATACCTACAAAAATGTAAGGTCAGGAGTTTATGTTGTTTCAAGCCAATAATACCATGGTAACTTGTTATACAGCAATCAGAATGTAATCCACTACCTCCATTCCATACTTATAATTCAGTATAAATGTGACAGCACAAACATTCCTGAAATCTTAATACAGTTGGGCTAAATACAAATTTATGGCTTACAACCTAATTTCAATAAAGTAGTAAAATTATCTACTAAAATAGCAATTTGAAGTCATGTCTTTTAAAAAAAAAAGATGTCGAATTCATGTGAGGGGGGGAAATGAATTTTCTCCTTTTAAGAATCTGGTTTTAAATTGTGTAATATATCAGAAAATCTAATGACCTATTTATCCAGTATCTTTGGTTGCAAAGGCTGAATTCTTGAAGGATTTATAAAACTGATTCTTTAAATGTATATAAAATGTGAGCTTTGTAATGTCAGAAAGAGCAATCACATAAACAATTGAAAAGAGCCATTGCCCAGACTGTCTCCCCATGGCTTCAGAAATCACAGTGTAGCAGGAAGGGGAGTTCTTGGTTGGTCCAGCTGCTCCCCTGTTTATTCTCCTTGTGTTCACATTAGCATTCCCATCTCTTAAAATACTGAACAGTCTTCTCTGGGGGTTTAGAGTCTGTTACTTATAACCCTCATCTTGTTTCTGATAGAAATACATACATAACATCTCTTTTGGATTTATTTTAAAGATCAGGATTTTTTTTTCTCTTCAATGATGATGTTTTCAGGCAATTTAAAAACCTGATGGCCTTAACGAAGCAGCTTTCAGTATTCCTGACTGCTGTCGGCAGAGCTGCGGTCGCGCCTGTCTGCCTGGCACGGTTTGTTCCTGTGCACCATCATAGCTTCTGAAATGTCTGCTTATCTTCATTAGAGATGGTTTGCACACAGTTGCTTAGTTTGAAGTTTTGTTTCTCTAATTATTTGCCCTATGGTTGTATTCTGTCTCCATTTTCTGAATTCTTTTTTTATTTCTAAATACACTTTCCCTCTCTTCTCTCAGTACCTACACTAAATTCTGACTTATTTTATTTCTCTGGTTTATCAACCTCATTGCAGGCCTGTGCTTGCTGTCTAGCCCATGTATTGTTTCTGTTTTACCTTAAATCTGTTCCTTAAGGTTTGCATTTGGCACTGTCTTGAGTATCGTTATACAGTGCTATGCTGGGGTTTTCTTTCTCTTTTTTAAATCTTCCCCGATAAGATAATTGAAAGTGTCCTTCAGATTGCCTGATCACTGTCATTCTGCAATAGAATTCACATCTTGGCTATACCTGTGGCTTAACAATGCTGGGCTTTTAATGTTTTTTAGGACTCTCTTAATTTCTTTCCCAACTGAATCACAAGCCTCCTTTTGATTCAGGAAGCCTTCTTATACTGTTTTGGTATTTGGACCTCATTGGACTCTAGTTTTCACTGGTTCTTGGCCAGTTTTCAGCATAGCTTTTCTTACCAAACAGAATGTACAAAATCAGGTTCTCCAGTTGTCACCAACTGGCCATTCTGTTCGTCTCTAGTGGTTCTTTCTAGATACTACGCCCAAATGGGCCTTTTAGAAAGAACCACTTTTAGAAAGGAGTTCCCACAACAGTTCTTTCTGTCTAGGGTAAGAAGGAAGAAGATAGCCCCTACTTTTGTTCTGTGTACCAGTTTAGGCTTGTCTAACCTTCTTGTGGGGAGGGGAGTGCTGGGGAACTAAGGCACTGATTGTTTTGGACAAACATTTACCGCTCCTGCTTTTGCTGCTCCGTGTGTTTCTAGTATGCAGGTGGGTACATGTATGTGCACAAATGTGTCTTGTCTTCCTTGGGACAGTGCGCCCTAGGATCCTCCTGCCTCTTCCCCAGTGTCGGGATCACAAGTGTGCCCCACTGCACCCAGCTTTGATGAGTCCTAAGGTTAAACTGGGACCCTTTATCACTAGTAGAAGTACTAACACTCTTTAGTTAGTGTGCATATGTGCGCATGTGTTAGTGCAGTAGTGGTGAGAGTGACTTCAGACGTTGGTTTTCTCTATTCACCTGTATTTTCTGGGAATTGAACTGAGGTTTTCAGGCTTTGCAGCAAGCCTCTCCCCACCAAGTCATCTAGCCAGCCCCCAAACAGATCTCCATGCTTGCGCAGTAAGCATTTTGCCAGTGGAACTATCTTCCTAGCCTGTTTGTTTGTTGTTTTGTTGTTGTTGTTTTATTTCAGAGAGTTAAATCATGTCCATCTCCCAGCTCCACATCTCCTGTGGACCATGTTCTAGAATACTAACCTGTGGCCTGCTGGGCACTCATTGCTATGTTGTTTCTTTGCTTTTGGAAGCTAGAAAGTTTGGTTTCCTTACTTTTGAACTTAAGTATGTTTTTGTTGTTGTAAATTTGTTTCTATTTTTATTTTTGGAATGGAGTAGAACTTTATACCTGGCCACACTTGCCATTGAGATTAGAAGCATATAATATCTTTTCCTAACATTAAACAACAGCCCTTAAAATTATTATAAAGTAACTTTGGTTTTATTTATAACGTACAAGCTGTAGACAATGTGGAGAAGTAATTTTGTTTGTTTGTTTGTATTTGAGACAGGCTCTTTCTGTGTGGCCCTGGCTTTCCTAGAACTCCCTCTGTAGACCAGGCTGGCCTCAAACTCACAGAGATCTGCCTGCCTCTGCCTCCCGAGTGCTGGGATTAAAGGTGTGTGCCACCACTACCTGATTGATGATATTTTTAAAATACTTAATATTCTTCAGCCTAACAGAGGATTTATGAAATTGGTTTCCCTTTTTGCTACATAATGGTTCCTTTTTCTAGTTAATGTGCTTATATAAAATTAAACAAAAATTGCTTCATAACTTTTACAAAAAAAAAAATAAATGAGGTAGACTTTTTTGGTTTTATTTTTAAATGTTTTTTTTGTTTACTAGGGGGGCACATGTCTGTGCTACAACATGCATATGTAGGTTAGGGGACAACTGATCTCCAGGTGTTGGTTCTTTCCTGCCTCCTTGTGGGATCTGGTTATCAGGCCTGCATACAAGTGATCTCTAGTCCCGTTTTATTTTTTGAGATTAGGTCTCTTTAGCTCAGGCTGGCCTGGTAGACCCTGTGTTCTTCAGAATGACTTGAATGCCTGCCTGATCTACCTACCTCTGCCTCCAAATTGCTGAGATTAGAGGTGTGGACAACCACACCTTGCCTAGATAGACCAATTCTGAACCTTCATTCATTTAGTCATTGGTTATTATCCTTAGATAGTGGCTGTCAGCCTGTGTGTCAGACCATCCACATCCTTGACAGCAGACAGTACCTCGTTTCCCATGCTCTGTCCTTTTAAAGGTCTAGACTATATCCTCCAGCAGTTGCTCCAGTTGAGTAAGGTGATCTGCTTTACTGTAAAGAGTATCTAGGGCCGGGCGATGGTGGCGCATGCCTTTAATCCCAGCACTCGGGAGGCAGAGGCAGGTGGATCTCTGTGAGTTCGAGACCAGCCTGGTCTACAGAGCTAGTTCCAGGACAGGCTCCAAAGCCACAGAGAAACCCTGTCTCGAAAAAAGAAAAAAAAAAAAGAGTATCTGGGACAAGTGTGGTGTTCTTTGTCTTGTTGATCCAAAACTATTTTTTCAGGCTTAGTTTTTATTTCCTTTTTTACAGACATACAAAAATAAGGTGAACACACACTCAGAGAAAGATGAGAACCCAAGTGATGGAACCATTTCCTCTCCTCTGTGTGTATCCCACCCTGTGAGCCAGAAAAAGAAAAATGTCTACCGTACTAACCAGACCACCTTCATCATTGGAGAAACACCAAAAGGAATCCGCAGGTATGTTATCTGTGGTAACTCTAGACTCAGGCCAGTTCTCAGAAGAAGTATAGCTTCATCATAAAGTATAGAATGTAAAAACATACCTCACATCCAAATTTCAGAAAATCAGAACTTTTCTATGTTTAAAAAAAAATGCTTTTGAGATAGGTTCTCACTAAGTAGCTCAGACTGGCCTGGAATTTGCTATGTATGGTTCAGACTGGTGTGATGGAATCTCATGCCTTAACTTGCTAAGTTCTGGGATTACAGAGATGTAGTGGGGACTGACATGGAAATGAGGCCGTCTCCAGGGTCGGTGAAGCTCCACACGCAAGTGTTAATGTTACCAAGAATGGCATCAAGAGTTGGTGAGGTGGCCCCCTAAGCCTGGTCCACGGGGCCTCTGGACAGAGGAAATGATACTGGCTTTCGCTCACAGTTGGTCTCTGAGCTCCCAGGAAAGGAGCAGCAAGCCCCACAGTAACCCATATAGCTGGCATGAGGCCACACCTCGCCCTGCCAGGCAGGCTTGCTGCAGTGATTCCTGCACAGTGTGCCTTTTCATTGTGGTCAGTTACTCTTCTAGAAGGCGGCTGTATTTCCCTAGTCGTTAAAGAAACGTGGGTCCCTGTAGTAGTGTGTTCAGAGGAGGGAAGGACAGCGGTGGTTTCCTCTTGTCCCTTCGTTGCTCACAGCCCACAGAGGAAATGTCTCCTGCTAGGTGAAAGGTAAGGAGTAATACTCAAAAGCCATGGCCTGTCTGGGCACCCCACCCTTCTTGCTGCCATCATAGTCAGTCAGAGTCAAGACAGTGTCTTGTAGCAGCCACGTGATGGCCTTTCAACACCTCCAGCCCTCAGAGAGCAAAGGCAGTGACATGGTGATAGCAGATGTGGTCCAGCTCCTTCCCAAGAGTAGACCTGCTTTGGAGCGTTGGCCGTCGTAACTTCCAGGTGACTCCTCGATGGTTTTTTCCTTTTCCTAAGCTTCTCTACTACTTTTTTTCTCACAAAAGTGGTTAGCTTGTGTTCCTAATTGCACCTTGCATTTTCATTGAATTCTTAGAGAAAATTCTGTTGAAGTCCCAGAATTAGGAAAATGAGTTGGAAGGCAAAAATAATCCTTCTGTGCAGCCATGAGCATAATTCACTCAAGGTTCCATGGGCTAAATAATGTTGAAGCAGCACTCCTCCCAGGGATGACCACCCAGAGTCCTAGGTGAGGGCGTGAGTCCTTTCAGGTTGCTTTGGCATCTGCTGGACAGAGGTGTCACCTAGTCTTGGATAAATAGAAGACATCACTTAAAACCCTCTTGGTCACTGAATCCTTATAAATATAAGTAAAAACATTTACTAGGTCCTGGAAATGGATTTGTATAGGTGAACACAAATAAGGTAGTCACACACTAGCTCAGAATTGAGAATAATAAAGGGTTCTTTATTTAGAGGGAAACTCACAGATTGCAGTTCTAAGCATAAACAGGGAAAAGGAGCTGAATCTAACAGGAGAGAGAGAGAGAGAGAGAGAGAGAGAGAGAGAGAGAGAGAGAGAGAGAGAGAGAGGAGAGAGAGAAAGTGTGCATGTTTTTTTAGTACCCAAGGCCATGCCCAACCTGGCCCAGCATCTCAAAGGCCATTGGCTGAAGGCATTTCCCAGCACCTCCTCTTTTTGTCTAAATAAGAGAATTCCAAACCCAATACAAAACTATATACAATAAGAACAGATATCAAGTATAAAAATTAAAATTACAATCAGCATAAACAATATTAAGCAAGAAACATATGCTAAATGATAATTATTTTATTTTAAGGAGTCTAAGTCCTGTATTATAAATAACTTGGCTAAGTCATGAGAGAAAAGTAACTACAATTATCTACTAGTCTTTAACCCCATCAAAGACCTGTTGTGTAAAGTGAAATACAACTCTAAAACTGTGGAGCCTTTAGCATGTGCTGCAGAATTGGCTTTGGTTTTTATCTGAAGAAAAATTTACAGATACTCAGGTTTCCCAATTTATGCCCCAAATGCAGCATCAGCAAAGCCATACGCTGTACCTTATTTTTTCAGTGGGGAGGGAGATAAGGCAGGCTGGCTCCAAACTTACCATATAGCTGAGGTTGATCAAGAACTCAACCCTCCTGCCTCCACATCCAGAGTGTGGAAAGCAGTAGTCTATGGCTCAAGGAACCTAAATAATTTTTCTGCCTCCACTTTACCAGGGTTCCAGAAAGCACATTTGTGTGTGTACATAGAGAAGTGTTAGTATCTTACTCTAGTATCTTACTCTAGGAAGGCACTTTGTGTCTTCAAATAACATCTTACTTTATTTATTTGGTTGGGGGGGTTGTTTGTTTGTTTTTGAGACAGTCACCCTATGTAGCCCATACTGCCTCAAACTTTCCATCCTCTTGTCTCTTGAGTACTAGGCATGTAGGTGTACACACCACCATGCTCAGTAAAAATGGGCTCTGGCTTCTAAGATGAGCTGTCTGCACAGGTTGAATCAATTGGGGGTGGGGATGGGAGCTACTGTAGGAGGAGAGGGATGATTGTTAGTTCCTGGATGCCCCAGCTAGCTTAGCCCCGAAATAACCACACAGAAACCGTATTAATTAAATCACTGCTTGGCCCATTAGCTCTACCTTCTTATTGGCTAACTCTTACATCTTGATTTAACTCATTTCCACTAATCTGTGTGTCGCCACATGGTTGTGGCTTACCCGCAAGGTTCTGCAGCTGACTCTGGTGGCAGATCCATGGCATCTCTAACTCCGCCCATCTTTCTCCCAGCATTCAGTTCCATCTTCCCCGCCTACCTAAGTTGTGCCCTATCAAGGAGCCAAGGCAGTTTTCTTTATTCATTAACCAAGAAAAGTAACCCAGACAGAAGGACCTCCCACACCAGACTACATTTATAGGGCTTTCTTTAAAGCTCAACCTAAAGCCCTGTGAAATTCTATACTGTGAAAGAAGGGGGAAAGGGAATTCTTTTTTTCAGAATTTTCCATTTATCAAAGCCATTCTTTAACAATATTATTCTGAGACTTGAATGCAGTATAGATTCTCAAATACAGAGTATTTAATGATGATTCTCATGTCAGTCATAAATTGACTAACTGGAGGAGTAGCCTGCTGGGTTCTCATAATTCCCAGGAAATACATAATAGTATATAAATCAGAGTCACTGAAAAAGCTGATGATTTGATAAGGTAAAAGATCATTTCTGGTAGCATTAGGGAAGAGGCACATTCTCCTAGGATGGAATTAAGCTGATATTCCAAAGGGCAAGGTGCATTGTTCTGTCTTTATGTTTCCTGTCACTGCTAACAAGCACACTGAAAGTCCTTAACTCCGCGGCAGTGTGTGAGCGCAGGCACACGCGCCACAGAGCATGTGGAGACCAGAGGACAGCGGTCTGGAGTTGGCTCTCTCGTTCCACCCTTGCATGTGTTCTGACTGAATGCAGGTCCTCCTCACTTGTACCTGCTGGGCCATCTCAACAGCTTTCTGATTAGCTCTTTCAAAATAAATTGTAAATATAATACAAAATAGTAACTCCTGGCTCTGTCTATCCAATCTTTAGAAAGCAGTTTGAAGAAATGGCCTCTTACTACAAGTCATCTGTGCAGGAGTTTGCTAGACGGGTAACCAGTGCCACGTCTGAGGAGCGACTGAGTCTGCTCAGGGACTTCTACAGCCTTCGGCACCCAGAGGTAAAGGGGTCCTTCGTGAGTTCTGCCCCAGAGTCGACCAGATCTGTCCACAAGGAGGAAGAGAGGGTCAAGAATAAATCCAAAGGAAAAGAATCTCTTTTAAAAGAACGACGCTCAAATGATAACACTTGGTCACGCAATGATCCCACCAACAAAATGTCTCAGGCTTACAACCCAAAACTGTGTAAAGGAAAGTCAACCAGATTTCAAAATCATGGTTCCCGTGGAGAAGAGATATTTTCTAGTGATACAAAAATTAAGAAATCGTCTGTCAGCTTTACTCAAGAGAGCGACAGTGAGAGAAATGACCACACACCCGGGAACAGCATGACACTCTTCTGTCCAAACAGCAAGCCTGGAGCCTCAGAGGCAGAGCGAGAGAATTCCCCAGGGGCGTGCAGTTCCAGAGACAGATCACTTCTCAAGCTGGGGAACAGCAGGGTAGAAAACCCAGCGTCAGCGTCAGAAAAGGCTCCTGTGGAAGGCTTACTTGGGGACACCTCTATTCTTAATGACCTCTTTAAAGGCTGCGGGGAGGGTCCCACACAGCTGCCAGAGAACGTTCTTTCAGGATCTGTGACAAAAGCAAAGCAGAGACCCAAAGATTTCTGGGACATCTTGAATGAGCAGAATGATGACAGTCTTAGCAAACTCACCGACTTGGCAGTGATAGAGACTCTGTGTACCAAGGGTCCCCGCTCCACAGCCTCCAATAGGAACCATGAACGGGAAGCTCCCCTTTGGAAAGCAAATGAGAAGTTTTTGTGGAAGACGTCTAACTCGGAGGATGACGAAAGCGTAGCCAGTACGGAGAGAGAGTAGAACATGGGTGTGCCGTTAAGTTAGTGGATCGGTGAGCTGTGTGAGCGTTTGTGGTACTGTAGTGGAGTCCTGAACAGTTGTTTACAACAGCCTAAAATGTTATCCCGGGTTTTCTTTCCCTAACATATATATATATATATATATGTTTAATCATTAATCCCCCAATCTATACAGTGCTGGGGTTCAAGTCCAGGACTTCATGTACACCAAGCACTCAGGGCAACTCCAGCCGCATCTCTTGCCCCTGATTTGATCTTTGGAACAAATGTGCCTATATCATATTATCGTGTTATTAAATGAAACCTTGGGCGCTCTCCTCCTGTGTGGTTCTGTGACCTCACCTGAGTGATTTGCCCCGTGTTTGCCCACTCCTCATATGAAAGATACCAGGATTGAGCCAGGTTAACATAGCCTTCTACTTTAGGAAGTTATTTTCCTTCCTTGGAATCATGTGCTAGTACTATGGAATTATTTTAGATAAGAGTTGTAATTAGGGATGGATATATGGTATTATGTTAAAGTGGTATAACTGCTTGGAGTCGTGTATACATTTGTGAGCTGTGACGCTGAAGTAATGGGATTGTTACCATTGCCCAGAGCACCAGCGCCTTACCCTCTCACATTTTGTGATCTAGTAAATGTAAACAGAGCTTTGTATTTTAACTTTGTATTTAAGTGGAAGGAAGTGAACAGACGTTTGATTTTAATTGAAACCCCTTTCAATGAACTTAACATATGTGGTATGCACACTCTGAAATGTTCTCATTGTTGGATTTGTTTACTTGGTGGCATTTTCTCAGCTGCTGTGGTCTGTGATTGGTGCTTGGCTGTGTAGGTGACACCTGTACGTGAAGGCAGGGAGGTCCTGTCTGCGGAGCATCAGGTGACTGGCACACTGAGAGTGTGGGGCTGGTGCCTGCCCACATTCAGCCAAGTCTGCAGGACTGATGCAAGGAGCTATCCAGTCAGAAAAATAGCGGGCTCTCCAGATTCCCCCTGCGCTGGAGCATTTTAAACTTACTACTTTCTTTTTTCCTTTGCCATAAGAACCTCTTGAACCTGTTGCAGTGCTGGAACACAGTGCTTGAGGTAACTTGAATCTGTGATCCAGGGCCATGATCATTCATACTTGGCTGGGGGTGGGTGAGTTGAGTTGTGTTTGCATGGGCAGAAACCAGCCTCCGGTAAGGGATGTACACCCACTAACAGAAACAAGAAACAGGCTCCCAAAGGCTTCTCCAGCCCCCAGTGCCCCTCCTCAGCTACCCCCCAGGGAGCAAGGAGGGGAGCAGGCTTTGGATTAGTCAAACTAAGAGTTGTTGACAGTTTAACTTCGTGGGTACTTGGAGACGCACCCAGGGATCACCCAGGTATAGAGACCTGCCACTCAGAAGGTGGCTGACCTTCCCAGGCTGGGCATGGCACAACTCTGGGGCTTTTCCTTTTCAGCCTGCAGCAGGATGGACCACAGCCAACTGAGCTTGGCCCCACACTTCAGGAAAACTGCAGACCCTGTGGACCACAAATGAGCACTTCTGTGGGTGGCAACTCCCACAAAGCCTGAGCACACGTGCGCGCGCGCATCACACACACACACACACACACACACACACACACACACACACATACACACTGCCTGAAAAGAGAAGAAAGGCTAATCTGGAGGCAGCAACGGAAAACTCTGGAGCTCAAGCCATTGGGAAGCTTGTTATCTACCACCAACCGCAAGCTGGGCAGGCATCCTGCATCCCTCACAGCGTGAAGCCGTGGATGGTCCAGCTTTGGGAGTGCAGGGAGCTTGAAGAGCCTGCGCCTCAAAGCAGGGGGCTGCACGTCTGTAATCCTGTGGGGTCCCCCATAATATTCTGGCAGGAGGGTGGGGATGGTCGCCTAGTGCGTGTGGCCAGTCGAGGGTCCAAGCGGAGGTCCATTAGGAGCAGGTGGGGACCCCGGGCGGGGCGCAGCTTGGCGCAGTGGACCTCAGGTGGAGAGGTCCCGCCCCCTGGAGGCCAGAGGCGGCGATTTCTGCTGTCTAAATCACTCTACTGATTTTAGAGTGAAGCCGCTGGCCGGAGGCACCGCCCTCCCTGCAAACACCTAGACAGAGCTGCCGAGCAAGGAAGGAAATGGGAAGCTGGCAGGATGAATCTGGCTGATTCCAGGCTCAGTGTTAGCGAGCCCACTGGGGACTCGGCCAGGCACGCCCCGCAAACACACGGCAGGCCCGCTGGGGAGGAAGTCAGACTTAGCACCTTGGCGTACTCCACCTAGCTTCCCCGGCCAGCTGCCCCGGGAAGCGACCCCCCACGTCCAGAAGCACTCCCCAGCCTGTGCACGCCCGCACTGGCTGGGCCTCCAGTCCTAGGCCACACACCCCCTAGGACGAGTCCTGCTGCTGCCTTCCCTGCCCCCCCACCTTCATGCTTCCCTCAAAGCCAGCGCCTTCTGCCAAACCTCCATTCCCAACCTGTTATCACGTCCTGGAGAGAATGTCTCTGAAATATTTCCTGAATCCCACTGCCAAGAACCTCCAGTTTCCGTCCCTCCACCTCCCATCTGGATGCCTGCAGACTTCTCCCTGGGTTCCCAGGCTCCAGCCTCCTCCCTCTCTAATCCATTTTCCACACCGCATCCCCAAAGCCTGTTGAAACACAGGGACTTTGGCTGCAGTAAACCTCTCGTTTCCTCTGTTAGAGCAGGTTAAAGGATTGGGCTGGGGAATAAGTACATCAATTCACGTCTATTGAGCATTTACTGTGTCGTTTGTTTAACATTTCAAGTGATTCTCATGTTTAATCTGCCCGGCAGCTTTCCTGAGCAGGTGTTATCTGTTTTATTGAGGAAGAAACTGAGGCACGGAAGCCACACAGCCCTGAATCGACAACAGCTTGATTGGCAGTGTCCATGAGATCCAGGAATGACGGAGAGACTCTTCTTCTTTCCCTCCTTCCAAGGCAAGCTCTTCAGAACCCTCCATACCCTGCCTTAGATCCCGACTGCCAGGCTCTGACCATGTCCTTGTTTGTGCAAGAGTCCTGGTTTCCATTGTCCTGGGAGGAGGGGGATTCCTCTCTTAAAATTATGGCTGGGAAATCTGGAGTCAACAACAGGCCCTTTCTAGCCTTTCCTCCCACCCCAATCCTCCCCCCCCCCCAAAACATATTACTGGGTCTCTGGCCCTGTTTTTCTGCCTAAGAGTTAACAAGGAAGGACTGCACCAGCCTGACCCCCACCATCTCCTGTGGCTTGAAGCAGAGACTCTGGAATGGCAGTGAGCAGGAGACCTTGATTTGCTAGCTGATCCTGTTTCTGCTTCTGCGCACCGGCCTATTACCTATAATGCTTTGTGCTTGGGCTAGCGTATGTGACTTTAAACAGCTTTCTGAAATTTTAATTCCTTTTCCTGTATAGATCCATAATAGGACAAAGACTTAGTTTTCTTTACATTATCCTGCCATTCCTTACCATTCTGGTAGTTTTTTTTTTAATTTATTTTGAGAGGATCTCATGTATCCCAGGTCGGCCTCAAACTCATGATATAAGTGAGAATGACCTTGAATTCTTGGTCCTCCTGACGTTAGAGGTTATAGGACTCTGTCACTAAGTCCAGCTAATCAGTAGGGCTCTCTTGAGAATGACTGTAAACCTGCTTTCCTGTCCAGCTATGTTTTCAGTGCTTTCTGTGTTAAACCTCCATTTCAAAGGGAGCACTGAGCCTCACCCTACCTTGGCACTGCTACCCCTGTCTAGTTGCCCAGCAACCAGTCCTCACATGGGGACTAGAAAGACACTGGTGACATCTAACTGTACCTCAAGGCTGCATTGGATGTGGAGCCAGCACTAGACACAAACACTGAAACCTTGCCAGTAGGCCATGAGCCTCATGGTAAAATATAAAATAATGGAGATGGGTTAATTCTAGAGGTAAGAGCTAGCTAGCAATACGCTTAAGTAATTGACCAAGCAGTGATTTAATTACTATAGTTTCTGTGTGATTATTTCGGGAGTCTGGGCGGCCAGGAAAACAAACAAGCAGCTTCTTACAAGGAGAGAGGACTTAGCTTTGAGAGCTGCCCCAGCTTTGCCCGGTGTAACACCAGACCAGCTCCTGTTACCTGCTACTTCTCCAGCTGTGTCCGCCTGCATGCTGCCCTGTCCCACCATGGTCATAATGGGCTGAACCTCTGAACTGCAAGCGAGCCACCCCAGTTAAATGGTTTCCTTTACAAGAGCTGCCGTGGTCATGGTGTCTCTTCACAGCGATAGAAACCCTAACTAAGACAACTGGAGAAGACAGGCCTCTACAGAGGGACCACTTGAGGACATAGCACAGCAAAGGATTCAGATACAGTGCTCTGTAGTAACAGCCTCCAAGGCCCAGAAGCAGCCACTCGGAGCAATTGGAAGTGACCACAGACTCTCCCTGGTCACAGAGAACAGTTGCCCAGGTAGCTTGTGTTCAGAAAACAAACTAGATTATCAGAAGTCACCTGTAGTGTGGGGTTGCTCCAGGGGAAGTGGCAGCTACAGTGTGGAGCAAGTTCCTTCCTGCCACCTGCTCAGCCAACAACTCAGACCCAGTTGGCAGAGCCCCTACCCAGGAACAAGTCTGGGTTGAGTGCCAACTGCACGGTGGAGAGTATGAGGTGAAGCCTTGTTCACGGCATAGAAGACCACAGAGGGAGAATAGGCTGTGGGAGGCCAGCCTGTGGGCCTGCTGTTCTGGATGTCCTCTGCACAGAAGGACACCTGATGCACGATTAATAAAAACTCAGGGTCAGAAATTGGGGTTCAGTCTGAAGATCTGAAAAGCAAAAGAGCCAGCCACTGGCTCTTACCTCGACCTCAGTCTGAAATGGCGATCCTGCCTCCAGGAATCTCAGAATGAGACATTTGTTGAGATCTGTTTCCTCCCATTTTATAATCCTCTTTTGGGCTGGGATTAAAGGCATGCACCGCCCAGTTTCTATGGCAACTAGCATGGCTTCTAGGATTAAAGGTGCATGTCATTATGGCTATTGAGATTAAAGGTGTGTGTTGTTATAACCTGGTCTGTAAGGCTGGCCAGTGGGACTGTTTTACTCTCATTTCATCAGGCAGTCTTTGTTAAAATACAATTGAAATGCCACTACATTTCCCCTTTTTGTTTAAAATAAAGAAGAAGGCTATAACTAATATAAGAAAACTATATACAAAAAGTACAATGCGCATATACAATATATACAGGCAATAAATATATGTACAATGCCTCGTCTATTTGCATTTGATAAATTCAGAGAAAAGATTTCACATCTAGCCTATCTATTTGGGTTCAAAGTCTTATCCCTAATTGACTTTCTATCATAATTTGCTTTCTGTGTCTGGAAAACTAGAACTATAGCTATCAAATCCTCAACTCCCTCAGAGACCCAAGAAGGAAATAACAGGAACTGAGTAAGCAAGAGGTGCAGGCAAGTGACTTCCAAAAACCATGAGTAATCACAGAAACAGCTGGCTGCCTGGAAAGTCACCCAAACCAACTTCCTGGGCAGCATTGGGGCATCCGTCTTCAGCCTTCAGGCCTAGCATATCTGACAGACTTTTCTGTGAAGCAGGGTATTTTTTGTCTTGCTTGTCCAATTAGGACAGCATAATGTCAGCAGTCAAGGCAGGGGCATTGTTAAGTGATTACATTGTTAAGTGAGCTGTATAGGTATGAAAACTTAAAAAAGATTAGAAATATATGTACAATATGTTTTAACAAAATTAATCTCAAATTTGTATCAATATACAAAATTTAGATACAATATGCAAAAGTAAAACCAGTGTAAAACATTTAAAACTAATAGTTGGTTTTTAAAAAGTAGATTCAATAATCTACCTTTCTATCTTATCACATTTATATCCCCTCTTTTTCTTTCTTTTTTTCCTTTCCTTTCTCTCTTTTTTTTTTTCTTTGTGTATTTTTTGTTTTTTTGAGACAGGGTTTCTCAATCCTGGAACTCGCTCTGTAGACCAGGCTGACCTTAAGCTCACAGAGATCCACCTGCTTCTGCCTCCAAGTGCTGGGATTAAAGGTGCATGCCACCACCACCTAGCCCTTTTTTTTTTTTTCAAAACAAGAACCTTGAATCTAATTTCCTTTGTTTAGCTTTTTTTCTGACTATCCATAACAACTTGTTACCAATGCACTAAACAAAAACAAACATTCAAAATCCATTTTTGGAGAATGTGAGCATAGTTTTTCTAGGCTACTTCCTACTGATTAGAGGTGCTGATAATCTTATGGGGACCCAAAAAAAATTAGGATTTTGGTTAAGTCCTTACTGGAGTATTCTGTGAGGCTGTATCATCTCAACCAGCAGTCTTGAAGCTGTTCTGGATGTAGAACTCAGAGGAAACTGCAAAAAATGTACTCTAAAGTGTTGGATCATTAGGGGCATCTGTTCCCATTGGAACAGATTTTTTCAGGGGGTATTCCTTGATCAAATCTTCTTTTTCTTAACCAAGATGAATCCACAGACTCTCATTTCCCATGGAAACAAAAGCATATCCTCTTCTCCAAAGTAACATATCTTTTGACTTAAATTTTGAAGTCAAGGCATTTTCAGAATATGTAGGTTGGATTAATCCAGCAGCATTTATAATCAAATGTCTTTCAGCAGCTGTTGCTTCTGCCTCAGCAGTGAAACAATTCAGAGACAACATAATAACATACAGTGTCCAGATTCTCTGTGTATTTTCCATCTTTACATGGAAGCTAAGCTGAAGCAGATGGGAGCTGGGAGCGTTAGTTTTTCTCCCTAACCCAAGTAGCTAGGTTTGGGTTCCGAATCCTAGAGCTCAAATTCCAACCCAACTCTGACCATTAGCTCTTACCCCAACCTCAGTCTGAAATGGCAATCCTGCCTGCAGGAATCTCAGAATGAGACTGTGTGTTGAGAGCTGTCTCCTCACGTTTTATAATCTTCTCTAGGGCTGAGATTAAAGGCGTGCACCATCATCATTAAAGGCAAACACTGCCCAGTTTCTACGGCAACTAGTGTGGCTACTGGGATTAAAGGTGCCTGTCTTTATGGCTACTGTGATTAAAGTTGTGTGTCATTGTGGCTACTGGGATTAAAGGTGTGTGTTACCATAATCTGGTCTGTAAGACTGACCATGGGACTCTTTTACTCTCAGATCTTCGGGCAGTCTTTATTTATTAAAATACAAATTGAAATGCCACTACAGACACCTGCCACCACCAGCAGGTGGGGAGCTACCGCTCAGCCTCGACTAACTCCTTGACATCCTGCAGGTGTGCTTTCATTTGCTGTTAGCACAGACAGCATACGCCATACACCACATGTATACACACTATATTCCTTTTACCATACCTGCCATACACACCACACACCAGGTGCATGCACCTCACACCATGTACACATATCATACACCAGGTACACATCATACCATCATACACCAGGTGCATACACCATATATCAGCTACACACATCATACACCAGGTACAAACACTAGGTGATCACATCACACACCAGGGACACACACCACACACTAAGTACATAACTATACACTAGGTCCACACATACCATATGCCTTTAATCACACTAAATACAACCAGAGCGTTCTCTCTCTCTCTCTCTCTCTCTCTCTCTCTCTCTCTCTCTCTCTCTCACACACACACACACACACACACACACACACACCCTACACCAGTACAGGGAGCCTAGGAAGCCTTGAGCAAATGTGCAAAGAGCAGATGAAGCCCTGAGTAAATGTGTATTGTTGACAGGATACAACACGTCAAGGACCCAATGGGAATGGCAAAGCCTTCCCCATACAGGTCAGGCTTGGAATAGGCAAAGCCTTCTTCCGGTGTGGATGTGGATATTGACAGAGTGTGAAAAACTCAACAACTGAAGCTTTCCCCACTGAAATGACCACATCCTGAGACTCCTGGCTACAGAGACCTCCTACCAAAGCTGGCTAATTCTTCCCCCTGTGCTCTACATAATAAACACACTGAGGTTTGGGTTATTGTGGTAGTTGGTGCAGCTCCATCAGAGTGCACAAACCCACCAGGCCCCAGCTTTTCTGTACCTGTGTCTGTTCTTTTCCCATTCCCATCACCTGTGGTAGTTGTGGATGTCACCTTGACTGCTTCTGGAATTGACTGACGCTCAAATGGCTGGACACACTTGTGAGGGATCTTTTTCTTAATTAAATCATTTTAAGTAGGAAGACCCACTTTTTTAATTCTTTTTTTTAATTGTTTTTATTGAGCTATATATTTTTCTCTGCTTCCCTCCCTTCCACTCCCCTCCCATTTTACCCTCTCCCGTGGTCTTCATGCTCCCAATTTACTCAGGAGATCTTGTCTTTTTCTATTTCCCATGTATATTAGATCCGTGTATGTCTCTCTTAGGATCCTCTTTATTGTCTAGGTTCTCTAAGATTGTAAACTGTAGGCTGCTTTTCTTTACTATGTCTAAAAGTCACTTATGAGTGAGTACATATGATATTTGTCTTTCTGGATCTGGGTTACCTCACTTAATATGTTTTCTAGCTCCATCCATTTACCCTCAAATTTCAAGATGTCATTTTTTCTGCTGTGTAGTACTCCATTGTGTAAATGTACCACATTTTCCTTATCCATTCTTCAGTCAAGAGGCATTTAGGTTGCTTCCAGGTTCTGTCTGTCTGTCTGTCTGTCTATCATCTATCTATTGATCATCTATCTACCTACCTATTTATTTTGCTATGTGATGTAGCCCAGGTTGGCCTTACACTCACTGTGTAGCTGAGGATGGTCTTGAAGCTCTGATCTGCCTCCACCTCCTGCATGCTGAGATTACAGGCAGGCACCACCATGCATGATTCATGTGGTGTTACAGAGGGAGCCCACAGCTTCATGGTAAGCATGGTGGGTAAGCATTCTAGCAACTGAGCTACATCCCCAGACCAAGGCACAGTTCTGAATACCTGAGACAGACCAGCAATCATCCAAACAATGCCCCTGAGGTCGCAGAGTCATGGAAAAAGCCCATTCACAAGCAAAGAGACAGACTAGATATGGCATGTCCAGATAGAATTGCATGCTCTGAGTGCACAAGGCTGAGGTTGGCTGATTGCTGCTCACACACCAAGGCACCCAGAGCTCTATATGCTGAGTGCCTGGCAGCTTCCAGAGGAAGCAAAATGTTTTATCTGCTGTTGATGCTCAGCCAGGATAAATGCTGTCTCTTTCCCAATAAGGGCTCGAATCCAGGAGAAAATAACTTCCCAGCATCAACATCAGCCTACTCCAATCAAGTGGCTTTCCAAATGCTATAAAGCTGAGGCTCCCAAGCTCAAGGATCCAAGAGATAGGCAGGCCTTGTGCCAGCCCCGAGGCCTGGGTCCAGCTTGCTTGTGTGTTCACAATTTGTTTGTAAATAAAGAGTCGCTGTGAAGATCTCCCGACCCTTTTGTTTCCATCATCCCTGGAGACCCACTGCCTGCCTCCACTCCACAGTGTCACCAGCCAGGCCTGATGAAGGAGCCATTCTGTGGGTTCACATCAGGAGAGGAAGGTGGACCACCCTGAGTCCATGTTATCAGCATGCAAGTCTCTCTTCTCTCCTCTCCTCCCTCTCCCTCCCTCCCCCCCTCTCTCCTCTCTCTCTCTTTCTCTCTCTCTCTCTCTCTCTCTCTCTCTCTCTCTCTCTCTCTCTCTCTC